CAGCAAGGGGACGGGAGTTTACCGCTATCTCGATACTTACTATGCCTCTTCCGCACTGGGCGCGCCCCACTACAGCTTCACGAGCTTGACGTCGGTTGCTCTGCTCTGACCGCCATTGAGTCACAAACACCGTCCCAAAAGGAACAAAGCACTCCTGGGATGAGAAAGAAAGCCCGCCAGAGGCTCCCGTGGTTGTGTCCGTAGCGGGCCAGCTTTTTTGGGGTGCGCCATCATTTTGGGCAACTTTGCAACGCCCGCGAGTCGATGATGTTTGCGCGCGGGCCAAGCTCTGGTGTCTGGAAGAAAGCGACCGAGGCAGCCCAGGTGAGCTCAACGGTCAGTGGCGGTGAAAGACAAAGTTCTAACTGGACGGCTCAGGCGTCGATTCGGAGAGAGCAAAGGCAAAACAAATCGCCCAATTCAACGGCAGCATCTCACCGCCGCTGCTTGTCTGCGGAAAATGGCGCCCGCACGCTCAAAACCAACGGCTCCGCTGTCCGGAGCTCAACTGCTGCGGAAACGAAGCAGAAAAGAGAATTAGATAGGGTAAATGCCTCTCTTACGGCCCGGCATCCGTAGATTATGTGCTGATGGACAAAAGGCCTTTCTGATATCAGTGCTCGAGTCGTCGCCCACGAGACGCGATGCCAAGGCTTATCTTCAGACATACGGCGGAAGCTCCAAGCAGCTCTCGCCGAAGCATGAGGGGATTATTGCGGTCAACGACTCGCCGCGCTTCATCCAGGGGCCGGCGAAGCAGGTTGTGGAGGATGTTAGCGAGGCACCACACATAGCCCTTGTAACGTTGAGGGATCCGCAGTCCTGGGACGACGACCTCGTAGACGGGGTGGCCAAGACGCTCACTCAATTGCGGGACCTAGGTCTTCTCAGTGTAATTGCACTGGATTGCGGGAGCGCTTCGAAAGAGGTTGTGGTGCAACAGACCGATCGCGTGATTCGGGCAGTTGGGAAACATGGCTCTCCAGGGGCCCAGGTCGTCGACTCCGGGATACGAATCGCGGAGGCCGCATCCCGGGGTCTTCCCTCTGTCACGTCCAATCACGTTCAGGTGGGATTTCAGGAGGCATTTACTTCGTCCCTTCGGAACGGTTACCTTGTGGTAGTTCCGGCTCGGGCGTTGTCCGACGAGACACTGAAAACTACCCCAGTCGACTCAGACAAAGTGGTACTCGCGCTGGCAGCTTTTTTCTCGGGCCTCCAGTTCAACAGCAAGCCCGAGCTAGACGAAGTCTCGAGCAACGCCCCTCCAGAGGCGCTTCGGAGGGCGTTGGTGGACAGAATCATTGTCATCGACCCTCACGGCGGCATTCCATCTACGAGCCAAGGAGATGGAGCCCGGGTGTTTGTGAATCTGGAAGAGGAGTTTACGCGCCTTCAGGATGGCCTCGATACCGACACTGCCGATGTTTCTCCGAGCCATTCAAAGAACCTGAAGCTCGTCAAGTCAGCCCTGGCGATCCTCCCATCGTCAGCATCTGCTGTGATCACTAGCCCCGCTGAGGCTGCGAACCTTCGACTTCAACGAGATGATAGTGTTGTTTCTAGTACAGGCCGCGTCACAGGTCAGGTTGGAACCCGGAGGTGGCAGAACCCTCTTATCCACAACCTGTTGACTGACAGGCCAATCTACTCATCATCACTGCCTATCGGGAGGATCAAATCCGCCGCCCACCGCGCTGAAGCTACCAGTTCTCGCATGCCAACGACTACTCTGGCCAAGAAAGGATTGCCCGTCACCATTTTCCCCGACCCTCGTGCCTCACCGTGGACACCACCCAAGCCAGGGACTCCCAGGCTTCGCCTTACGGACACTTGCATCGACCTACCCCGACTCGTCCACCTCATCAATGACTCCTTCAGCAGACAACTCGACGTTGAGCATTATCTGCGCCGACTCGAGGACAGCCTTGCTGGCATCATCATCGCGGGAGAGTATGAGGGCGGAGCAATCTTGACCTGGGAGAGACCGTTTGGGCTTCCGGAGGAAAAAGCATACAACCAGGACCGGCTTATCCCTTACCTGGATAAGTTTGCCGTGCTGAAGAAGAGCCAGGGGGCAGGCGGCGTCGCGGACATTGTCTTCAATGCCATGGTTCGGGATTGCTTTCCTGCTGGGGTGTGCTGGCGAAGCAGGAGGAACAATCCGGTCAACAAGTGGTACTTTGAGCGCTCGGCGGGAGCTTGGAAGCTGCCAGAGAGCAACTGGGCCATGTTCTGGACGGACCCAGATGCGCTGAGGAATGATCGGCTCATGAGCGATTATGAAGATGTCTGTAGGAATGTTGTGCCGTCATGGGCGGATGGGAAGCAGGCAGATTAGGTTGCAGGTGGGGGCAGCTTGAGATGTAACTCTGGAGTTGTTGTGCCTATAGGAGTGTTGAAACACCGTCATGAATGCTTAAGTTGTCCTGTTCCTGCAGCTTGCTGCTTGTTTGAAGCTAGCCCACGTGCGTTGCCAAGCGTGCATCGAAAGATTGACCTAGAGCATTTTGACCCAGTAAACATTGATCCTGGGATGATGCTTGGGAGAATACATATAAGGAGAAGAAACACCGTGACTGCTGCCTGGACGATGTGCCATGTATACCACTTCAACCTTTGGGTAACAGTCTCTCTGAATGTCAACGTCAGTGTCAGAATGAACCCAAGTCAAAAAGCACATGCTGACGAGGACGTCAGGTGCAACACTGACCAATCGCGTTGCGGCGCTGCAAGGCGGCAGGGATTAGCGGGGGGTCATTTTGTGGATCTGCCTTGCGTCCCCGTAACAACCTGCGCGGCTTGGGATCCCGTTCAACGCTTGGTTAACATCCAGCTCCATCACGAACCTTGGCCTCAAGCCTCGAACTCCTTACTATCTCGCCTGCGCAAGACGTCAGCATCGAAACCCGACGCACAACCACATTTGCATCAATCAGTCCACTTTAGACTCTATTTCCTAGCAAAGATGGATATGTTCAAGGGCTTGCAGAAAAGCGTCACGTACGTTACGCACTCCATTGCTTTGTCCCGACAAAGCACGCCAACCAGAACGCCGGGAAGCTGACCTTGCTCGCGATGCAGCTCGCTGGGTGCGCAGGTCACCCCCTTCGCCTCGCGCACTTTCCAGTACACCAAGGAGCAGCTTGGCCAGGCCGAGGACAAGGTTGGTAGCTCATGCCGCCGGCTGTGCACTGGGAGAGGGATCGCTGACCGTCGCATCTGCGGCCACGATAGACCCAGCTCCCTCCGGACTACATTGACCTGGAGAAGCGCGTGGATGCGCTGAAGGCTGTTCACCAGAAGATGCTCGCTGTCACGTAGGTTTGCGCCATCACTTTGCTACCAGCTCCTCCAATACCCCCTGTCGCAGTGGCTGACGCGGCGGGTTTTGACAGATCTCAATACGCCAACGAGCCCTACGATTATCCCCCCAACATCAAGGAGACCTTCCAGGACCTTGGCCGCACCGTTAGCGAGAAGGTCAACCTCCTCTCAACCGCGACCTCCCCCGCCGAAGCCCAGGCGGCTCTCACCGCGCCTCCGACTGCGAAGCCTCAGCCCAAGACCTTCGCGCACGCCATCGCGCGGGCCAGCTTGGCTGGCAGCCAAACTCTGCATCAGCAACACACCGGTGCCGGGGAGGACCCCTTGGCGACTGCCCTCGAGAAGTACGCCCTCGCCCAGGAGCGTGTGGGAGAGGCCCGCCTTGCCCAGGATGCCCAGATCCAAAGCCGGTTCCTTGCTGGGTGGAACACGACGCTCAACACCAACATCTCCTTTGCGACTCGCGCCCGCAAGAACGTCGAGAAGGCCCGCCTGACGCTTGATGCCGTCAAGGCCCGCGTCAAGGGTACCACCTGGAAGATTGGCGGTGCCGCGCCCGCCGTTCACGACGACCACGAGCTCAGCAACGAGGCACAAGAGGAGATTGAGAAGGCCGAGGATGACTTTGTCACCCACACCGAGGAGGCCGTTGGTGTCATGAAGAATGTGAGCCATCCCCTTGTTTTCATCCATTCAGTGGTGCAACGGACTGCTAACGTACCGTTTCCTTGCGCTTTGCGACCTACAGGTTCTCGACACCCCCGAACCTCTACGCAACCTTGCTGAACTGATCGCCGCTCAAATGGAGTATCACAAGAAGGCCTATGAGATTCTGAGCGAGCTGGCGCCCGTCATTGACGGTCTTCAAGTTGAACAGGAGGCAAGTCGTGCTTCGGATTTCTCCCTGCGTTAAACAAGTAGCAAACTGGAGTCCTGCATGTGCTGACTTGAGCCGGCGTTCCCCATCGCAGGCGAGCTACCGCAAGAGCCGTGAGAGTGCCGCTTAAATGAGAATGCGCTCAGAGTTTTCCAGGTGTCTACCTGCTGCGACGTTGTCCCAAGTTGACTATGGGATTGAGGGTAAAGGGTGGGAAGTTAGGGGCTCATGAAGGCCGCTCGTATTTAAGTAGGAAACGGAAGGCGAGCAAGTTCCATTGGCTGGTTGGGTTTGCCTCCGTGTTATTCCATTCTCCTATGACTCTCCATGCTATTCAAAGTTCTTGGTGTGGTTTTCGGTTATGGTTTGCCAGGGGTCTGGTCTGTGTGTCTTCTGTTCAAGGGTCTATAGAGCAATTGCCAACGGAAGTGTCGATTTGTGTCTCTGTATCTGCCGACTGAACGGATAGGTCACTGAACGCCGAACTGGTTTCGATCGGCTATTTCGCCAGGACTAGCACCACCCTGCAGCCTCACTGTGTCAAGATTTCCCGCTCACCTTGCCCCTGACCGACGGCACAACACCATCACAACCAACATCACCACAACGCAAGCTCTCAAGCCAGATTCCCACTCCAGATCATCAACCAATCACATCGGGCGTGTGGCTCAGTTGGTAGAGCGTTCGCTTAGCATACTCATCTGCATGCGAAAGGTCCTGGGTTCGATTCCCAGCTCGTCCACGATTGCCGGTCCCCACGCCGGTTCACACTCGCAACCCTTCCAATTTTCTCTTGGGGCGTGTAGCTCAGTTGGTAGAGCGTTCGCTTCGCATTCTTTACTGGATTGCGAAAGGTCTTGGGTTCGATTCCCAACTCGTCCAGGGTATATTTTTTGCTAGAGGATGAGACTCGTGAGGGTGATTTTTGGTTGATATTGGGGTGGGTGGATGCGATGGAAGCTTGTGGTTTGGGTGGGGTGAAATTTGGGGTCGCCGTACCGGGATGCAAGGTGCAGCGGGCGGGTAATCTTCGGAGGGAAGGGAGTTGCTGCGCTGACGCAAGGGTCGCTCGTTCGCTGGTGTGGGGAGCTTTGCCGCGCCGCAACGCAACCAGCCAGCCAGCTTCCCAGCGCAAACACGCCGCAGCTGGTTTTGCAACTTTTGAACCGCGGAAACAACAACAGCCTTTTCGTTCTCGTCGTGAAGCGACCGGCGGCGGTTCTCTACTCGCGATGGTAAGCTTCGTTCTCAGAATCTCCTGGGGTGCGGAATCAATTCGCTGACGATCGCCTCTTTGCGCAGTTGCCCCTCGGCCTTTTGAACGCGGCGCAAGGCCATCCGATGCTGGTGGAGCTCAAGAATGGGGAGACGCTTAATGGACACTTGGTGCTGTGCGATACGTGGATGAATCTTACGTTGCGCGAGGTGGTGCAGACGAGTCCGGTATGTGTTTGAGGGTTTCGGGTAGGGGATTTGTTTCTGACGGGGGGGTTTGTAGGAAGGGGATAAGTTTGTGAGGTTATCAGAGGTTTATGTCAAGGGAAATAATGTGAGTTTTGACTGGGGGGGGGGGGCTGGTGGGAGTGAGGGAGGCTAATGGGGTGACAGATCAAGTACCTGCGCGTGCCGGACGAGATCCTCGATGTTGTGAAGGATCAGCAACAGGGACAGGGAGGAGGGTATCGCGGTGGACGCGGAGGTCATCAGAGAGGAGATCATGGTGGTCGCGGCGGCGATAGGGGTCGTGGAGGCCGGGGTGGAGGTAGGGGCAGGGGGAGGGGCCGTGGTGGATGAAGGGGTGGCACGGGAAGTGAAGACAGGCCCGATATGATTACTCCGTCACGCTGTATAGTGTGTTGGCGGAGGTGGGAAGCAGTATTATGAGGGCGGCAGGGTTAGCAATACCGTGGTGAATCACGGAATGGGAGAGCCTGCGAGGGCGGGGCGCGGGAGACCCGGCTGGCCACTTTTGCGGATTGGGAGAATGGCTATTGTCTGGGAGCTGCGTACCGCCCGGCTGCCTCATGGTTATCAGTTGGAGGACATGGTGCTGCTGCGTAGCGAAGTGCTTGCGCTTCATCACCAAGACAAATATAATCCACGTGACTTGGTGTTTGGGTGGCCGTGCTTTGCCGCGTCGCCAAGAAATTTTCTCCAACGTGCGCCGACACTTTTTGGACGTCAGTACCGCCAGCGTTCCCTGTCTTGCGTCCCGGTTTTGAGGGCCTATCTGAGGTAGAGATGCCGCCGCCAGCTTCTTACGCGCTGGACGGGCTCTGGCGTTGCCTCTGTCCGTCAATTGACGCAACTTCCCTCGCCCGCACCCCGCAATCCCTTCCGCGCCTTTCCTCCCACATTCGTCGCAGCCATGGCTATCGAACCGTCCGTCTCACGCGCCAACTGCATACTGGCTCCCAATTCGCGGGAGCGTCTTCACCGAATGGAAACGGAATAGCAAGCACAAGGGAGGCTTTTAAGAGAGTAGACCGTGACAAAAGAAAGCCCTTTGGGGTGCCCCTTGGGCTGCCCGATGTCATGACGGAATCTTCGATACTAAGCAATGATCCCACCATGCACTACACCATGGACATGCTTGAGGGTTTGGTCAAGTCACATTGGGACACGTCAGGGTCGGCATTGGCGTTGGAGGAGGCCTTCAAGCGAATACACGAGACGCAATTGCGACCTGGTTCATCCTTTTACCATGCGGCGCTACGGGTATGTTGGATTTCGCCTTGCTTGAGCAATCAGCGGATGCTAATGAATGGTCGGATGTAGCTCCTCGCGGTGCACCCGGATTATCTAGCCAGGGGCAACATCCTGCGGGCCATGGATGCGAGGGGGTTTGTCCTCACGCCCGAGGGCAAAACGAGCGTTGCGTTGGGTCTGCTCCGGGACGGGCAGTACGAGATGGCGCTCGACTACCTGGACGAGATGATGCAGGCCGCGGAGGAAACCCCCTCGTGGGTGTTGGACATCTTCATCTTCGTCTTGGCGAGGAAGGGGTTCCTTGAGGAAGCTTTGCAGATCATGATGCGGCAGCCTGAGAGATCAACCGACAGCGAGGCCCCGCATACCCTTATGCTGTGGTACTTCCTCTTGGAAGAATGTAGCGCTGCGTTTTACTACCGAGGGACGAAGCATCTGTGGAACGTCATGGTCGAGTCCAAAAGGCTACACCCTTCAGACGGCACGGTCAACAATGTGCTGGCAACGGCCTCTCGGCACGGGGATCTCGATCTCGCAGAGCAAGCTATCCAAGTCCTCTCGGAGCGGTCGGTCAAGTTGGGTAAACAACACTACGAAGCGCTCATCGACTGCTACCTGGAATGCGACGACGCCGAGAACGCCTTCAGGGTGCTTGATATAATGAAGCGCGCCGCGATTGTCAACATAATGGAGAGCGCAAAGCTGATCCGCCACGCCCTGGAACGATCCGCTCACACCCCCATGAGCCTCGCCGAGTTGGCGGCGAAGCTACGCAAAACTTCCAACGCTACCCCTGAGGCCGAAGCAACCCTGATGCAAGTCCTGTGCACACGGGGCCAAATCAACCTCGCATTACAGATTTTCCAAAACTCGGAGGTGCTTCAAGCAGGCGGGCCAGTACTCCGCAACTACCTCAGAATTCACGACACTCTGCTACGTGCGCCATTCCTCCGCGAGCCATATTCCGTCAAGGACGCTACCGTTGCCCTTGCAGCCGTAGAGAAGTTTGCCCAGTGCGACAATGTAGACATCCCCGATGTCATGCTCTTCCTTCGATGCTACACACTCGTCGGCAACAAAGCCGGCAGGTCCGAATGCTTGGATGTCATCTTCAAGCAGGAAAAGGGTCTCGATCTCATTGACACACCACTTTTGCTCGACTTGGTGGATGCATGTCTGTCGGATCGGGATCCAAGAGCATGGGATCTCCTTGCTGATTTGACGAAGAGGGACACGAGCGATTCTGTGCTTGCGATGCGGATCAGAGGAATCCGGCGGAAGTTGGACATTCTGAAGGGTCAGATGAATCCTAGCGCAAATCTCAACAAGCGTAATGGATTGAAAAGGGGAGGTTCGACTTCACAGGGCAATGAGAGAATGCCGTGGTAGTCGAGGAACCGCATAATAGCGCAGTTATCGTTGGATGTACAAGATAGTATCTAGACTCCCTCCGGAGATCCAGTTTATGAATCGCCGAGTATATATTGTAAAAGCACGATGATAACTTGTGGCTCTTCCTTACCACCACTCCAGGTATTCATGCAGAGTTCTCTGGGCACCGACGAATTTGTGACCATACGAAGGTTTGGAAGCAAGCAGAGGTGCTTGTCTGCGCACCGCAGGAGATCGAAGACACCCTCTCGCTTTCAGTTGAGCCATGACTTGTTTCAACTCCTCTCGTGGCTGAAGAGGCCGGCATCTGAGATGACTACCGTCTCAGGCGTCAAAAGTCTTATATCACACACCTCACATCACAAGCTCGCTTTCGGTGAAGCCTTGGCTTGTTGTCAGCTCATCTCTCAAGACCGGATGCAGCCAGCATACTCCGACGACTGCTCTCTCAAGCCTCGAAAATCTCGCACACACACACACACACACACACACCACACATCACCAGCACCAACAGTGTACAACCCACATGTGCATTCATCTACATCCATACATATCGCGGAACTCGTTTCCACGAGCTTTTTGCTCCCCAAGGAGCCAACTAATGCCCAGCCAGAAAACCCAGGAAGATCGCCGTCTTCCTCCCGGCATCTAATCCGTGAACTCCAATCCAGGGTAACGTGATCCCACCCGTCGCTTTCCGATATGCCGCTGCAAAAGGCAGCCTCCAATATAAAACCGCGTTAAATAATTACACAGGGTCTGATCGGCCCGAGTGGGCTTGCTCCAGACCAAAGGACCCATCCATCCGTTTGGCAGGTCGGGTGTTTGTTGTAAACCTATTCGTCCCTTGGGAGGTCGGGTTGTTCGAGGCCATCCATCCGTTTGGTGGCGAAAAAAGTCCGATGCGGTGTGAAGAAAAGAAAACAGGAAACGAGTATTCCTACAGTTGCCTGTCATTCGAGGCTTGATATATCGTCGATCGGTTGATCTCAAAGGGAGGTATTGTAGTCGAGCGTAGACCCAGGAGGTGAAGGTGAAATCATCCACTGCCTGGGTTGTTGCGCAATAGCTCGTAGAGCGCCTGCTCTCCTCCCTCCATGCTGCTGTAGGTATGGCTAGAGAGATTCATAGAGCGGTGGGTCTGGTTATACGAGCCGCCACTACCGGTGCTTCCGCCTGCATGGGCATGCGATCCGGTATTCGAGTAAGCGTTGTTACCGCTCGTCGGTGCCGTGTTATAGCCCGAAGAGGGGTTGTTGACAGCATTGAATCCATACCAGTTCGACTGCTGGTTGGTGCTGGCCTGTGGCTGACTCGAATACGAATTGTTGTACGCCTGCTGCTGCGATTGCCGAGGACGCTGCTGCTGCTGCTGCTCCTGCTGCTGCTGGGTATGGTGGCCGTAGGCGTTGGACGAGCTCCTACCCTGTGTCGTTGGCTGCGGGCGGACATCGAACCCCTGCAGAGAGGGTGATGGCTTGTTGGTGGCTGACTGGTGGCTATACGACGTGGCAGCGGAAGAGGACTGATTGTTGCTGTAAGAGTGGGTGTTCCGTGCCTGTGTTCCAGAACTGGTCGCGCCCCATTGCGACGCGCTAGGAGCCGTGGCCGTCGTCGCGTTGTAGGACGAGGTCACGGTCTGTGAAGCAGTGTTCGCAGCCGCTGCTGCCGACGAATTCGCGGTTGCGGATCTCGTGCCGTAACCCGAATAGGAAGAGTACGAGTTCGACGATGTAGTCGGAGCTGGATGACTAGAGTACGGCTCGTAAGCCACGGTGCTG